TTTCCTCTCCTTTTTTCATTTGCCCGGTTGTTTTGTATTTTGTTACTTCCCTTTGCCAAAACTGCATCCCTCTCCTCTGTCATCATCCTGTTGGACCTGTCTGCTGCATTCGACACGGTGAATCATCAGATCCTCCTTCGCACTCTACAAAAACTTGGAGTTTCAGGCTCTGCACTTTCCCTCCTCACCTCATACCTGAAAGACCGTACCTACAGGGTGAGTTGGAGAGGGTCTGAGTCCGACCATTGTCAATTAACTACAGGGGTCCCTCAGGGTTCTGTTCTTGGTCCCCTCCTCTTCTCCCTGTACACAAACTCGCTCGGATCAGTCATTAGCCCGCATGGTTTTTCTTACCACTGCTACGCTGACGACACCCAATTAATTCTGTCCTTTCCCCGCTCAGAGACCCAGGTCGTCGCACGCATCTCTGCTTGTCTAGCTGACATCTCTCAGTGGATGTCTGCTCATCACCTCAAGCTCAACCTTGACAAGACTGAGCTGCTCTTCCTTCCGGGAAAAGATTGTCCCACTCTTGACCTAACAATCAACATCGGCACCTCAGTTGTTTCCCCGACTCAGACTGCAAGGAATCTGGGTGTGACCCTAGATAACAACCTGTCCTTCACTGCAAACATCGCTGCTACAACCCGTTGCTGCAGATACACGCTTTACAACATCAGGAAGATACGTCCCCAGCTGACACAGAAAGCGACTCAGGTTCTGGTCCAGGCTCTCGTCATCTCACACCTAGACTACTGCAACTCCCTCCTGGCTGGTCTACCTGCATGTGCCATCCGACCTCTGCAGCTCATCCAGAATGCAGCGGCTCGTCTGGTCTTCAACCATCCTACATTTTCCCACACCACTCCGCTCCTCCGCTCCCTTCACTGGCTTCCGGTAACTGCTAGAATCCACTTCAAGACACTGGTACTTGCTTACCATGCTGCGAATGGATCTGGCCCTTCGTACATCCAGGACATGGTTAAACCGTACACCCCAGCGCGTGCACTACGCTCTGCATCAGCCAAACGACTCGCTGCACCCTCGCTGCGAGGGGGACCCAAGTTCCCATCGGCGAAAACACGTGGGTTTGCTGTCCTGGCTCCAGGATGGTGGAATGAGCTCCCCATTGACATCAGGACGGCAGATAGCTTGCACATCTTCCGGCGCAAACTGAAAACTCATCTCTTTCGACTCCACTTCGAGCGATAGAACTATTAACGAAGCACTTTTATACTAATAAAGGACTGGCTTATCTAAAGCCAGTTGAGTAGCACTTGAAATGTTTGGCTCTATGAAACCTGATGTACTTATATGATGCTGTTTTCTTCAAGTTTGTATTTTGTTGGTCGAACGCACTTATTGTAAGTCGCTTTGGATAAAAGCGTCAGCTAAATGCAATGTAATGTAATGTAATGGTTCTCCTAGTCCAGTATTTTTTGCTTCAAAGTACAGTTGCAACTCAAATCCGATTCTCTAAGAACAGAGGGTTTAAGTGGTTAATTGGATTTGGCCATTTTAGGTGATGCTTGTTGAATGTGAGGTGTTGTACATGTGTCACCGTGTGTCTTATTGGTTTTGTGTTATACTGTATTTTATTGTGTGCAGCTGGTCCTTATATCCAAGACACATTTAAAACAAAAATAACCTTGAACCTTGAAGCCCCATCTCTCCCCACCTGCCCCTGCTTCCTACATCCCCTCCACACCACACCAAGTTGTTCTTCTAGGGCTTTTTCCGACTACAAGAACTCAGCGCACTGTGCTGTGGTAATATATTTCAAAATACAGGAAACCCCTCACACATGCCCAGCACCGTGGGAGGGCCAGGCCCTCCCATTTGACATTCCTGCCCTCCCCCAATAAACACGTTTTTTATTATTTATAACATTTAAAAGAAATATTTTTTTATTTTTTTTATTATAAATAAACTGAACTTTTATGCTACGAAGTAGGCCTATGTGATGTCAGATAGTAACTAAAAAAATAATCGCAGGCTACGTCAAATAATTTCATGTTTCTGTTGTGATTTGTGATTCGTCCACATTTAGACCAATCACAGCGTCACACTCCTATTCTGGATTTGTTTATTGTGCATTCTGCCATTTCTGTTTGAATTACAAAATGGACATCAGAAATTGGCTTAAAAGGTCTAAGGATTTATTAAAACGAAATAGCGATGAAAGAACTGCAGCCGATGCAGCTGCTGGCGACCCTGCACCTGCCATTGCAGCAGCACGCCTTAATGTCACAAGCTGGACCTCGGCAAACCCCGGGGCTGAGTTAGCGAGCCCAATCCTTGACTCATCAAGGCGGACGCCACCAACGCTGTCCTCCGAGGCACAGCTCCTTGTGCCCCTACCATCACCACCTGCGTTGCCACACCCTGTACCACACCCGCCAGCATCCTCCTCCTCCTCCGTGTCGGTGCCTGCACTACAGACGCTACCTTGCAGCACATCAACAGGTACTATTGGGCCAGCAACCTGCTCAACAGCCCCAGATGATCTTGGGGTTAATAAACCCAACAGGTGAAAACTGGATCGTTATCCAGGGAGATTGTTTTCAGGAAAGAAGCGCACTTTTGCCGCTGCATGTTACAACAACAGACCATGGCTTGAAGATTCGTTAAAAGCCTTTTGTTTCCCCTGTAGACAGTTTAAAGTAAATACGTCTTCATCTGATGCAGCTTTTACTGTCAAAGGTTTTTGCGACTGGAAACACGCATTACAGACTGATAAAGGACTGCTAAGGCATGCCGCATCAAAAGAACACATTTCATGTGAGAGTGTGTGGAGAGAGAGAGACAGATAGGCGAGGAAACAAATAAGGAAATTAGAACTTTGGTGCAGATCAGCTGGCACGGAACCGTTATTACATGTCAGCTGTCGTTGATATTATAGCTTTTTTAGCTGTCAACCAACTCCCTCTCAGAGGTGACCACGATTCACTCCACAGCATGTCCGAGTGCAGTGCATAGGAAAATAAACCATGCCCAAGGCGGGCAAAACAGTTCATCGTCTCCGTCTATTTCTCTCCGAGTGCAATGATGAGGAAGCTGCCATCCTTAACCAGTGTGCCTTGCTCGTGATTTACCAGTGTTTGTGCTGCCACGCACACAATGTTTCAAAAGTGGTTTCTATGTTGCCCTTTATTTGTGTATGTATTTGCGATAAGTGTGCATCTTTACGCAATGCTGTTGGCCTTGCTGTTTGATATTGTGCCGCAGGCCTGCAGCAGGTGACGGTTTTGTGTGCCCTCCCATGAAAATCATATGTCCTCCCTTTAGATTTGTTCTGGCGCCGGGTCTGCCCTCACAGCTCACACCGATAACAACAACAATGGCCGATTGTGCTCCAGCTTCCTCTGTACCTCTTCGGAAGACCAGATTCCCAGTAGGTAGCTGGTCTCTTCAGTGGACCACTGCTGCTTGTTAAGTTTCTCCATCGTTGTGTACAAACTGGATAAAACGCGGGCTCAACGCCTCAATGCCTCAACGCCTCAACGTAAGCGTGACGTATGCTGTGCTTTTGCTCTAGCCAGACAATTTTTTGGTGCTTGAAACTAACCGGATTCGGGAGCTAAGAGGCTATCCCGCTTTGGTGTGAACAGGAAAACCCGGTGCTTTTCAAGCTCCAGCTCCGAACCGGCCCTGAAACACCATTGGTGTGAATGAAGTATGTGAGATAATTTTATGTTGGTTTGGTTCTTCTGATAAAGGTGTGAATATCTAAATAATATACCACCATATGCTATTGTCATTAGTTGTGTCCCTGTTCTTCAAGCTAAGGCATTGCTAAATTAACAACTCTTGTCAGCGGGGGAGGGGGAGCCTCGCTGCGTGGAAACGGCCCGCTGAACGGGGGTGGGGGAACTCGGTCTCCTAGACAGCCAAAAGTGTGCGACACTTTACTCATCTTTTTCTTGTTATTTTTTTTAACTGCTCACAAAGCACATGGCCAGGTTTAACAAACACTGCATGTTTTTCTTACTGTAACAATTTAATCGTTAAAAGCTTTTTTCCTAAACAAGCAATAAACCAAAAAAGACAAAATCATAGTCAAAAAGTAAATAAGGAAAGTAGGGCTGTCAAGTTAACGCGTTAATAACGCGTTAACGCAAAAAAAAAAAATTAACGCCACTAATTATTTTAACGCGATTAACGCATGTGTATTTTTTTTCCTCGGCCGCCCCGTAGTTTCAGAGCGCATCCAGTTTAAAATACCATCTACAAGCTGATGCTGACAGCCCCGTTCCTGCCGCCCGCTTGTGGCAGACCACACTTCCACGCTCACCGGCAGGCACCGACTGGCTGTTGGGAGGACCGGGAGGGTGTGTGTGTGTGTGGCCCGAGCGAGCGAGCGAGAGACCTTACGTGCATTGTTGTTGTTAGCATCTGGTGCTAGCTAGCTGCGCTAACGGATATGGAGCTGTTTAAATGAAAACAGAGGAGCGACATTTCGCCACAACTGCGCCGAGCACTTGACTTTATGCAGGTCAGCACACTCAGCACGGATAGTGCGCAACATGATTGCAGCGTCCAGGCAGCTCCCGTTCGAGCATATGCCTTGAGTTGCACATAGCTCCAACGATCCATCACACACACACACACACACACACACACACACACACACACACACACACACACACACACACACACACACACACACACACACACACACACACACACACACACACACACACACACACACACACACACACACACACACACACACACACACACACACACACACCACACACACACACACACACACACACTTTGTATTGTATTATTGTACGAGAGAGGTTCCAGGTTGAATTGAGGCGAATATTTGTAATGTTTCAGAGGTTGTTGTGTTTAATATTCATGAGAATATTTGTCATTGTTCAAATGATAATAAACATTAGCATAAAGCATATTTGTCCACTCATATGTTGATAAGAGTATTAAAAACTTGAAAAATATTCCTCTAAGGTACATTTAGAACAGATCAAAATGTGCGATTAATTTGCGATTAATCGCGATTAACTATGGACAATCATGCGATTAATCGCGATTAAATATTTTAATCGACTGACAGCCCTAAAGGAAAGAAACATTCCTCTTTTATTATCTTATAATTTCTTAGCGCCATCACTCAATCCTTTGTTGCATAAAAGAGTCCCCATCGTTGGTCTCCGCTGTTGGAACGCTCTAGTTTTTCTCTCCATCCTTTTACTATTGCCAAATAGTCCTCTTCAGAAAATTCCTGCAGGCCACAGAGACAGGTATGATGAGCAGTCAAAGGATTAAGAGAGGAATTTCAGTTCAGTGGGTGACATTGGGTTGAAAGGTTGTGCATGCTTACCTGCATGAATTCATCTCTGATGAGCTCTGCTCTCTGCAGCTCTGTCTTTATCACCTGCATGAACTGGGCTGTTCGGTCTTCAGAGCGAACGTTGCAGAAACCAGCTTCCTGGATGAACTACAACAAGTAGAGACAGAGAGGGGAAAGCATAAATGGCACGGCACAAATAGCGGATGGACATTAGTAATACATTAGCAACATATCCACAGAGTACATAAAAGCAGTTGACTACCTTTTGCACAACAACTATTGTGCAAAAATCTTCCTAATGACAGGCTTGTCTAGGGGCTTGGCAAAACTGACATAATTATTTTGGAAGTATGCAACCAATAGCTGAAGATCTACACTTGTTTCATGTGAACAGGCCATCGTTAAACAGTAAAAGGAAAATTCTTGTTCGCTCAATAGCTAGGAATTTGATGAATTTAGACAGCCAACAGCACAGAGATGACTGGAATCTAGGAGAACGAGACATGAAAACATTGGATTTTGTGTTAATCTTTCACTAAAGACAATTTGTTCTTTCATGGCCTTAGGGACACATTAACGACTTTGACAGCTTTAAGTGCATTTTGCTTATGTTGCAGAGTTTTCTGCTGCATAGTGAGGACAGACGAACACCTTTTACAGGTCAAAGCTGTACCTGTCAGTGCCATCTGATTGACAGAGCTTATGCAATGCTTGTATATTAGGGATGTAACGATATACCGAATATCGCGGTAAATAAATGTCCCAATACCGTCGTGAGACTGACAAAATGTACCGCTATTTTTTTTTGTAATTAATCTTTTTTTTTTTTTAAACACTTTTTTTTTTTTTAAACCTTTATTTAACCAGGTGGTCCCATTGAGATCATCGATCTCTTTTTCAAGAGAGACCTTTCCAAAATGGCAGCAAGTAGGTTACAACATGAACATAAAACAACAGAACACAAAAAAAAAAACACAAAATGCTTTCCATTATTTTTGGCCAACTCTGCATCTTTGTACTGCAGCGTATATTCAAACAGCGACAGGAAGAGCCCACTGCCTGAGTCGGACATACTGTGGAGTGAATTGTGGCACTCTGAGAGGGAGTTGGTTGACAGCTAAAAAAGCTATAATATCAACGACAGCTGACACGTAATAACGGCTCGTGCCAGCTGATCTGCACCAAAGTACTAATTTCCGTATTTGTTTCCTCGCGTATCTGTCTCTCTCTCCACAAACTCTCACATGAAATGTGTTCTTTTGATGCGGCATGTCTTAGCAGTCCTTTATCAGTCTAATGCGTGTTTCCAGTCGCAAAAACCTTTGACAGTAAAAGCCGCATCAGATGAAGATGTATTTACTTTAAACTGTCTACAGGCGAAACAAAAGGCTGCGTCTGCTTTTAACAAATCTTCAAGCCATGGTCTGTTGTTGTACCATGCAGCGGCAAAAGTGCGCTTCTTTCCTGAAAACATTCTCCCTGGATAACGATCCAGTTTCACCTGGTTGGGTTTATTAACCCCAAGATCATCTGGGGCTGTTGGTCTTTGAGCGGTTGCTGGCCCAATAGTACCTGTTGATGTGCTGCAAGGTAGCGTCTGTAGTGGAGGGCACCGGCACGGAGCAGGAGGAGGAGGAGGATGCTGGCGGGTGTGGTACAGGGTGTGGCAACGCAGGTGGTGATGGTAGGGGCACAAGGAGCTGTGCCTCGGAGGACAGCGTTGGTGGCGGCCGCCTTGATGAGTCATGGATTGGGATCGCTAACTCAGCCCCGGGGTTTGCCGAGGTCAAGCTTGTGACATTAAGGCGTGCTGCTGCAACGGCAGGTGCAGGGTCGCCAGCAGCACCATCGGCTGCAGTTCTTTCATCGCTATTTCATTTTAATAAATCCTTAGACCTTTTGAGCCAATTTCTGATGTCCATTGTGTAATTCAAACAGAAATTGGAGTCTACAGAATGCACAATAAACAAATCCAGAATAGGCAGCAGAGTGTGACGCTGTGATTGGTCTAAATGTGTACGAATCACAAATCACAACAGACACATACATTTATTTGACGTAGCCTGCGATTTTTTTTGTTTTAGTTACTATCTGACATCACATACATCGTAGCATAAAAGTTCACAGTTTATTTATAACAAAAAAAATCGTGTTTATTGGGGGAGGTCAAGAATGTCAAATGGGAGGGCCTGGCCCTCCCTGGCCCTCCCTGGCCCTCCCACGGCGCCGGGCATGTGGAGAGACAATGCAGAGTTTGACCCACTGCTGTCACCCATGGCCAAAGCATAGGGTGAATAGCCCTAATGTGGGAAATGTTTTGCATTTCAGACTTCGGGAATATATTGCGATATGAAGCCGATACAATAAATCAACATCAAGTACCATTCTGAAATCCCCAGGATGTGTCCTAATCAAACCAAAAGAGAAAATGCAGATATTACACTCATAAAAGAAATGGTAGACATATAAGTACTCTTAGTGCCAAGTTGTCTCAGACAATCTGCATTTCCTAATGTGGGACAGTTCTGTGCAAAATGTGGGGACACTGAAAAGTTTATGTTAAAAACCTCAGTCACCTTAATTCATAATAAAAACATCTCAGGTCAGTAACACTCAAAGCTAAATGTGCAATACCATGTTCAGCTATGTTACTATTTATAATGTTATTGTTTTTACAACAGAAGATGTTTTTCTTTAAATTGAAGTTAAATGCATCAATCTGGTGCACTTTGAGGGCAAAATTAAGAGATGTATGGATACAGCTCTCAACACTCATATGAAACAGAACTGTATATATTTCAATAATCCAAAAACCATTAGAATATGCTCACAACCAATAACACATATTTGATAAACTCCTCTCTCCTATCTTTATCTTAGTCTGCATTCTCTCTTTTTTATTTATGCATATTCGACTAATCACTCCCCTTTTAAACTGTGTGTTTTGTTTTTTTACTGACCTATAGCATATATTGGAATGATTTCTTAACTTAGGCTATTTTTTACAATGTGTGTTGGAAGGATTTATTAAATTACTATGAATATTTGGGCTTAAATGAATTGCCATCTCTTAAACTCAGACATTTATCCCTAACATTATCCCTGACTTTGTCATACCATTTTAACAGAGATGCAGCCACCCCCAATTATTTAATATGATTTGCCCATCACCTTAAATATCTAAAATAATGCATTAGAAGACTAAATAACCATTGCTCTTGCACAATCCATGCCCCTTTTAGACCTGTCCCACATTAGGCAAATCATACTGTCCCACTTTGCGAAACATGTTTCCTAAAGTGGGACGATGGAACATTTGATTGAAATAAAAAATATAGAGTATATTTACATCATATTATAATATGTTCTGATGAACAAACATATCATAAACACATCCTGATAAAAACTTGCAAGATTGTTTTATTTATACGAAATTTAAAACCTTAACATTACATTTGTCAAAACACTATGTCATTGCCCTTTGGGTGGTCTTCACACATGGTACTTCCTGTTTAAAGGTTTTTCCACCCTCATCTGTGATTGGACATTTGAGAAGTCATGTGATTTTGATTGCATGACATCACAGCTTGTGTTAAGCCGTAGTTTCATTGACTCTCATTTGTTTGCGGACGACCTACACCCATTTGAGCTTCGGTGTCCCACATTAGGGCGTGTCCCACATTAGGGCAACTCACCCTATCTCTCCGTCCCACTGAGGTGGCGTTAGACTTTTTCGCTGTCCATCATTTTGACAAACAGGATCGTAAAATGTCCGTCATAATCCCTTATTACCCGTCGGGTCTGAACAGTTCACGAGAGAGCACGCTCGTGAACTGTCAAGGGGGGGGGGGCGGTGTTATGCCGTGTGTGCATGCACCTCGCGGGAGCGCGCACAGCGTAAAGCAAAACCTCCCAGACATGTGTTGATCTGTACGGCAAAGTACGGTTTGGAAACTATATCATTTCCTTTTGGAGGGCATGCATAACACGGCATAACACCAGAGCCTCGCTGCGGGGAAACGTTGGTGCTGTTCCGAGTTTGTTCTAATCTGTCAAAATGACAGACTGCTTTCAGATTTTTCCATCATTGATAAATAAAATATTCGGTTAACGCGACCACTGCTGTCCCAGCAACATCAGTACCAAGCGAGAGAGTTTTTTCCAGAGCAGCGGATATTGTAAATGCCCAAACATCCCAGTTTATAAATACCTGGAAATGTGGACATTCTCATATTCCTAAAAACCTGTCTGATGATCAGTGATCAGTGTTCAATGAACGATCGTTCATGAACGCGTTCATATTTTTGGGCGAACGTGAACTGAACGTACTGTATTTCCGCTAGATTAACGTAATTGAGAACGCGTTCATTCTCAGCGCTGTATAACGGCGTTCAAAAGTGCGTTCATTCTCAGCACTGTATTATAACGGCGTTCAAAAGTGTGCCAGATTTCATATGCCTTTCAGCCGAAACCCCAGTTAAAACCCAAGCGGCAAACTCTGGGGAACAGCCGGGAAGCCAATACGGAAGTGCCACACACTGCAGTTCATACATGGGCCGCTAGGGACTGGCTGCAGAAAGGAGCAATTTCCATAGACCCCCATGTTAAAATGCCCAACTTTACAGCAGAAAAAAACATGTTTCTACCCATGGATGCAATAAATATTATTATCGATATAGTTAGATTCCACCTTCATGATTATGAATCTGTGAGTGAATTGTTTTCTAACACAACCCTTTTATTTATATTAGGTCTTAAAGTTTTTGCATAAATTAGGGCGTGGTCACGTTGATGGACACGTACATGCCTCACTGTCAGCTAACAGCAACTTGTCCACTCTGCTAGGCTACAACCATAGAGGCGACAACGTTAGTTAGTCATAGCACTGTACTTGACCCTTTAGCTTTAGCCGTGTTCGTGGTGATTGTGCCTTTTAGAGAATATTGTTACAAATACCAGACAATTAAAATGTCGTACTGTGCGCTTGAATGTACTAACAGAACTCCAAGAAGTCTAAAATGATAATATTATACATGTTAACCCCGTTCGCAGGTGTTTGTGTGCTTGGTAGCTTAGCTTGTTACTTATTAGCCAGCTAAGGACGTAACCCTTTATGCATACATATACATTTTAGTTTATGATTCAGCCTTGGGTAAGACTTTTATAGTCTATGGCTATGACGCCCATAATGCTAAACGGGAGCAAATGTTAATAGGGGACCCAATTATCCCAGTGGTGGCCGCCGGAGCTAACGGAGCCACAGGGGGCTAGCTCCAGCCGGCGTCCCGGAGCTAGCCCACTGCGGCTCCGTTAGGTCCGGGCGGTGGAGTCCGTCTTTTCTCAACGTGTGAATGACAAGCATTAAGAATAATAAAATATAGCTAATTCTCTTGCAGATTGTCTCATTTGATTATGAATGTAACGTTTATATAGGGGAACTACACTGTTAGCAGTAACTTGGTATGCATGTATTTCATGTTAGCTTAGCTTCTTAGCCTGAGCTAGCTCTGTTTACTTCCAGTTCGGAGGCAGCAGGTCCCGCCTCGGCTCCGCCTCTTTGCCCTTATTTGGAGCAGGCGGGATTAGACTCTGACGTTGCTGTCAAGCCGTTAGTGGCCGACTCCGCCTACTAAGGGCTTCACGGCAACTCTGCAGAATCCTATGGGTGACGTCACGGACACTACGTCCATTTATATATACAGTCTATGGTTAAAACACACCGTAAACAGGCTTCAAAATAATGCGGAAAACCACCCAATCCGGCAACAGCAAGCTGCCTGTGACTCGTACGCGCCTGTCACCCCTGGCTGTCGCACTAAAATATACGTCATCAGACTCCTCACAACAAACAATGTGGAACCGCGGAACCGGCGAGCATTGAATGAATGAATGAATGAATGAATTAGTATGGACGAAGCCGAGAGCAGCTGCAGCAGCACTCGCTCAGAGTCAGACTCTACGGCGTCGGCGTATGAGCATTTAAAAGAGTTTTACGTTAAAGTCAGTACTGACTCAGACGGAAAAAATCTAACGTTTGCCTGTAACCTTAGTTTCATACCTCAGCCTGGATCCTACCTCGTGTTGTGTTAGTACAGAGTTATGTCGGCACATGTTTATATTAGGGCTGTCAGTCGATTAAAATATGTAATCGCGATTAATCGCATGATTGTCCATAGTTAATCGCGATTAATCGCAAATTAATCGCACATTTTTTATCTGTTCTAAATGTACCTTAGAGGAATATTTTTCAAGTTTTTAATACTCTTATCAACATATGAGTGAACAAATATGCTTTATGCTAATGTTTATTATCATTTGAACAATGACAAATATTCTCATGAATATTAAACACAACAACCTCTGAACATTACAAATATTCGCCTCAATTCAACCAGGAACCTCTCTCATACAATAATACAATGTGTGTGTGTGTGTGTGTGTGTGTGTGTGTGTGTGTATGTGTGTGTGTGTGTGTGTGTGTGTGTGTGTGTGTGTGTGTGTGTGTGTGTGTGTGTGTGTGTGTGTGTGTGTGTGTGTGTGTGTGTGTGTGTGTGTGTGTGTGTGTGTGATGGATCGTTGGAACTATGTGCAACTCAAGGCTATGCTCTAACGGGAGCTGGCTGGTGCTGACTTTTCGTACAATGTCCCACTGTCTGGCTTCCTGCATAAAGTCAAGTGCTCGGCGCAGTTGTGGCGAAATGTCGCTCCTCTGTTTTCATTTAAACAGCTCCATATCCGTTAGCGCAGCTAGCTAGCACCAGATGCTAACAACAACAATGCACGTAAGGTCTCTCTCTCGCTCGCTCGGGCCACACTTACACACGCCCTCCCGCCGGTCCTCCCAACAGCCAGTCGGTGCCTGCCGGTGAGCGTGGAAGTGTGGTCTGCCATAAGCGGGCGGCAGGAGCGGGGCTGTCAGCATCAGCTTGTAGATGGTATTTTAAACTCGATGCGCGTATTTTAAACTCGATGCGCTGAAACTACGGGGCGGTCGAGGAAAACAAATACACATGCGTTAATCACGTTAAAATAATTAGTGGCGTTAATTTTTTTTTGCGTTAACGCGTTATTAACGCGTTAACATGACAGCCCTAATATATATATATGCTAAGGTCCCGCTGCTGACACGATAGCAGTCATTTCGTGCGCATATGTAATTAAACCCATGATATCAAAATCTCACTCCAGCCAGGTACCCAAAGTTGGCAACCCTGATATACTGTAGAGATGAAAGCTGCAGCTGCTACTAGTGTGGACTGAATGGGCGGCAGCAAAGCGTTATGGAAATGCCAGTATTCTGATTGCTGTCTGTGGTTCTATATGGGTTATGGCAATCATTTTGACAAATAATAGCTCGCAGCAACGTATTGCAAAAATAACTATAAACTATAAATTAGTTCATTTTTGAAACCATGAACTTTAGTTCAACATTTTGAATTATGAACTATGAACTGAACTAGTTCATTTTAAAATGTGTGAACTGTGAACTGAACTAGTTCATGTAGAAAGTGAACTTTCCCAACACTGCTGATGATGCTGAGTGAGTGACTAGTGAGTTTGAGTTGAGTTACTTGAAAAACTAAAGTGAAACTTGATTTATTTTATTGCAGGGTCTGATTATTAAATGTCCTTGTTTATTTGTGAGATGCAGTGGCACAAAGAAAATGCCTACTTTGTTTGGTAGTACTGTACAAAAACACTGGTTTTCTTGTTCCAGTCTGTTACTGTCACTTTGTTTTTGACACTTTAAAATACTGCTATCCTACTAAAATGCTGTACAAATCAGATTTATTATGTAATAAAGAAACATTTTCCGAATAAAATAAAATAAAAATTGAATTATTATTTTTTTCTTTATTATTCAATATCGCGATAAATACCGTACCGTGGACTTGTTATCGCGATATTATCGTACCGTGAGTTTTTGGTATCGTTACATCCCTATTGTATAGTCTGCCTAACATTTCTGTATTCATAATTCTTGCAACCCAACAATAGGGCAGTGTTTATCTTTTTCAAGGAATTAAATAATTATGCTCTACTGTATATTTACCTTGCCATACTGTGAAGGTGTGTGTAGGACATAGCCTCTCTGTTTGACGTAGGCCTGGAACGCTGGGGTCCAGGACTTCTCCCCACAGCAGTAATCGCTGATTAGCAACTTTCCACCCGGCTTTAACCATGACTGTGCACAAAGTAGACTGATCATTAAAAAGAAAGGCAGCACAGATTGATCAAGAAGTCGCGTTAAAGGCACTCGGTTTATCACAAAAATGTTGCTTCATGTGTTTCAAGCTTTGCCCGACTTCCTCATAGGTTTTGAAATCAATTAAATGCTGTCCTGTAAATATGAGAAAATGCTCACATGGAAGCGTTTGAAGAGGGTTAGTTTGTCGTCTATGTGCAGGATTGTGTCCCTGCTGTAGATCACATCAAAGGAAGCATCTGGGAACGACCTCTTGGTGGCATCAGCCACCTCAAACTGGACCTGTGGAGGAGCGCATGCAATTACTGATAAAACAGCAAACTCACAAGATGAATATTATCTGTGATATTTAAAACAATAGGATAACGGAACAGTTAGACGCACTGAAGGCAGCTTCTCAGTGACGGCCCTCTCTATGGCGGTGTCCACCATGTTGTCTGAAAGGTCCAAGCCAAGCACTTCCACTCCAAAGTTCTAAAATAAACATCATTGACATCATTATAGTCTTTTCAATCACTAGAATCAATTTACAATCCCTCTACTATAATTATTACTGTCACACTTACTATGCCATATCCCTCGGCTCTTACCTTAGCCATGTAGAAGTCTCCTCCACCAATGCCACAGCCAACATCTAGAACCTTCTGTCCGGGCTTCAGGTTCAGCAGGTCCACAAACTCCTGTCAACACAACAGAACCATTGTTTACTTAATCAAAACCTTAAGAGATCAGGGTTAGCATTTATAGCAGGAAGGGAAGTAGGAGTATCTGCTGATAAAGCTGCTGTGATAGATGCTGGTTTTGTGTCTGCTGAAGGTCATTTGTAGCATCGGTTTGACAGCAAAGAGTTTACAGAAGTCTTTTTAAATGATGTGAGGTTGCACTTAAGAATAGCAGTGCTTTGAGCTAAATGCTAATGTCTAACATGTCTAACATTATCATCTTCAATCACAATATTAATTTATTTGCTGGGCTTTTAAGTTAACTTTCTCCTTTCTTTCTATAAAAAAGTACCAATTTATTCGTTCCAGCCCATGTCTCTTTTCCCCTATAACTATAAAAACTGTTGTACAACACCAATGCTCATGTGCAAATTAAACTTTTGTACAGTTTAGTATTGTTATAACTGGATGCTACTTCAGTCACCTCATATTTTCACATACTTCATAATGCTGCTACCTATTTACAATGCGAGCTGTACTCAATTCTATTTGTCTTTTTATCTGCACTTTTACTGTAACAACGTGCATAAGATTTCAGATTTTGGTTTTAATTTCCTGACTTGTCCTACCTTGGTGGTGCTGGGCCCGCCTGTGCTGACGTATCCTGCCCCGAACATCTTTTCGTAGCGCAGGATGTTGCGGTTGGAGTACTGCTGGTTGTCCAGGAACTGCTGGAAGGTGTTGAATCCGTTCTGGGTGCCTGGGGAGCGGGGAACCTTCTCCAGAAGCCAGCAGATCTGATTTTGATTGTTTTTAATCTGGAAAAGTGGAGGACGAGGACAGAAAAGGATGCAGATAGAGGCAGGAAGTAAAAAGCAGGATGAAGATGGTTAACTACAAATCCTCACACCTACATCACTCGCTGTTATGTCCTACTTTATACCTTAAGTTATAGATAACCCTAAATGACTCTACCTGAACATAGGTCTGAACTTTCTTTTTCAACACAATGTCGAAACCAAACTTTTGGCCGCCCTCTTGGACATCCATTTCCATCGATGTCACGAGGTGGTTGTATTGTGCTTCAGTGCGGTAGCAGGTGGGGTTGAAGTCCCTCTTGAAGTCACCTTGGTAGAAAGTATCAAGTTAAAACAGATTCCTTATTATATTTATTATATATTGACTGCTGTGGCTGAACATTCATAATCAAATAAAGATTTATATTTCTGTATTGCAATTTCTTGATTGAGATTCAGTTTCTTCAGAAATAATTCAGTTCAGGTTCTTGTTTGGGATTTGCTGATTCATTTGAGAACCTGTTGTAAACATACTGTTGTGGCCTCATTAATATAGTATCACTGCATATTAAGTAGTTTTAAAATAAATTGAAAAACACAAGTAAAGGCAAAACAAAGATAGCAGCTACAGACATGTACTGTACAGTATGTGCCCCTCAGCTGTTGTTAAGTCACTTTAACTCAGGGCCTTGAGTTGCTATTTAATAAGTTCTTAATGAAAGAGAGATGTGGTTGTTGTAATGTTGGCTCAGTACCTGACCGGTGGTTGCAGGATTCTCTGAAGAAGAGCAAGCCACCAGGCCGCAGCCAGCCCATCATCTTCTCTGCGAAGGACTGAAGCTCCTCGTCAGTCAGGTACATCAGCAGCCAGTTGGAGAAGATGAAGTCAATGCTAAGGAGAACAATAAATTGATAGATTAAATTATGTTAAAAAAGCTTCAGTGCAGAGTTCAAGAATATCCTACAGTATGTATAATCTTGCAGCCATAAGAAGGTAGATGGCGCTAAATGACAACTAAGGGGATCACCCAAACTTGTATAATTCCTACTGAGGGGAGTCATAGATGTCTGTACTCATTTTCTTTCAACATTTGTAGAGATACTCAGTAAAAATCACAAATGTCAACATGGCGCGACATGCGTGTCCGTCACGTGATGCCATTAATCCCAAAGATACTTTTTTTCCATTGATTTAAACTTGCGAAGAAAAAAAAGAAGGTGCTTTATTTTGCCAACTCTAGAGCACTGCATGGTTTAACGTTGAATATACAAAATGTATATCTCTATCTATGCGTATCTATAGATATCTTAACACAAACCTGTTTTTGGGCATATCCAGCTTTGTGACGTCAGCTTGCAGGAAGGTAGCGTTACTATGGTGACCATTGTCCTGCCTGTTCCTCTCCACAAAGCTTTCCATGAAGTCCACAGCCGTCACATGGCCAGCCAGGGTCAGCAGGGGGCTTGTGTAGCGACTGTAGAGACACACCAGTATAAATCTCTTTATAGCTCATCTTAAATGCACAACCACAATTTAAAGGTCCCCTATTATACTGTTTTCCATTACTTTATTATAGGCCTCAGATATATACAAAACATGTCTCTGAAGTATTTGGCCTTGAAATACCAAACAGATCATACATTGTAGCATCCCATAAACCCCTCTGTTATGTTTCTTTTATGTTCTCTATGTTTCAAAAGTGCTGATTCTCTGTCTGTTACTTTAGATGAAAATAAGGAGCCACTCCCCACGCGGCTCTGCAAGCTATTTGGTTAAAAAAGACACAATGGTGCTCTAGGTGGAGATTCAGGTGATAAGGTGTGGGGGGGGGTTACCTTGGTTGGTTATTGGCTAATGGTTACACAAGACAAACACTCGTTATGACATCATAAAGTGGCCAAAATCTGACAGGTTTTTATATAAATGGATCAGGACAAAAAGGGAGTAAATATTTTTTCCGGAAACATTTCAGAATCTCTTTACACAGAGGGGACACATGTTTGTGTATAAAAAACAGGAAAAAGTGGATTTTGCATAATAGGTGACCTTTAAGTTAACACAACATAAATCTAGTCACATGAATTTGAGCATAACCTTTGTTGACAGGCATAAATTACATATAGATCCTGAAATCCCCGCTCACGCACATCCACTTCTACTAACAGCCGTAATGCAGCTGTGTTCTCACCCGATGCCAGCTCCCAGCTCCAGCACTCTGGATCCGGTCAGGCAGGGCAGCAGCGACAGGATCTCGGGCAGCTCATGCTGAGTCAGCTCCTTGGCACGAGAGTCCAGCATCATCTCCTCCACTGTGCCATCCTTCGAGTGCTCTTCCCAAAACGCTGTCATGTTGTTACGAGCTGAGAAGCACACAGGTGAGCAGATTTACAGTAGGTGCTAGAGCGACTTACACAATATTTGTTATTACAGGAGGCTTGGTCAAAAAAAAGATAACAAGTCTACAACACCAACTCTGGAATATGTGGCAGAGGTCAAAAAACCCTACCTGTGAATCTATTGCATAGAAAAACACATAATCAATATGTTTAACTCAATTATATAACACATCAAATGTGCAACAAAAGCAGAAAGAACAGAGTCCAACCATTTGAATGTGATATTTTAAAGAGATGTACGTTAATAGATGACTTTTAAAATGTTTTCAAGACAGATTAACCACTCGTCCAGTTATAGCAAGTAATCTTAAAAAAAACACAAAAAAACCCTGATGTGGCACGTACATGGCTATGCTGTATATCACTGCACTTATTCAGAAGTTTTGCATGTTTTTGTCTGTAGAACATGTATTTCCACCAGTTTTTTTATTTGCTTTGTCAAAAGTTGGACTAATGCAACACATGATCGCAGTAAATGTGGCAGAAGAAAAACGAAAAGCCTCCCCAAAATATCCTGATCCAGGTTATCTAGCAACTTTGCAGAAAGCCAAGAAAGCCATTACATTTTTTAAAGATGTACCAGCACATACAATAATGCAATTACCCAAATGTTGCAATATAAGTTAATAGAACATAGCATGAACTATAGCTTTAGTATGTATAGCAGCAGCAACAAAAAGTGTAGAAACACTTATAAACAAACTTTAAAATATCAAGTTCTTCTTATTTTACTTCCCTGATCTTTTGTTGTACCAGACATCCCTTAAATCCTGTGTTTTGAAGCTGCCAACAAGCACAGTATTGCACTAACCTCCAATCCTCCAGGGAGAAAATGAGAACTCAGGTAAAGTAAATGCATTCACAGTCTACTACCTGGTTACACCCTACTAATTAGAGTACTAGGCGTGTGATGCAGTGGGTTGTGTGTAGGTGTTCGGAACAGCATGTCAGCATGTCGTTGTGTCCCTGGGCAAGACACTTCACCCCAAATTGCTCCTGTGGGGATTGCCCACAGTATTGAGTATGTCAGTCGCTTTGGATAAAAGTGTCTAACAAGTAACATGTCATGTAATGTACTATTAACATTTGATCAGACAAAAGCTGTAGGGCTGATTTGACTTCTGAAAACCTCGCTCAAAGCACTGACACATTCCAGCAGGATTACTTTCACTAGCTGAGTGAACAATTAGCAAAAAACAACATGAGGCAGCTCCAACACAGCCAAAAGCTGCATCAGGCTTAAATACACATACAATTAAGTGTATACATGAGTAAAAATAAAACATATTTACAGCTCGCCTCGTACCCATCATGTTGATCTTTGGTTGATTTCAACTTCTTGCGAAATGTTTCTTTTCTTCCAATGTAGTCTTGCAATAACCAGTTATTACAATAGGGTTACTACAGTGTGTAACCACTCTTTGACTGAGGGTTTCAGCGCGTGTGGGTGCTCTTTAAATAACCGCTCGCCAGGTGGACCATTTAGGACGCGCCCAACGTAATTACGCTTAGGGGAAGGATATGAGGTTATTCCTCTGACAGCGTGTGCGTCTAACCCCCAAAACACATCGAAGAGTTTTGTCAGCCACAGAAAAGTCAGTGATGTTCACTCGCGATGGAGGTTCCGGTTGGATTTTGAGGTGGTGTGTGTACGGGACCGCTCCGGGATCACTGCGCCGCCGTTTTAGCTGACAAGCAGGAACCGTCAGTGGCATCCGCCGCTTGCCTCAGCTGAAAGCCCTCGCGCTGCTAAGGTAGAGAGAGTTGCTGAGCAGCCACCCCGCAACACTGTAGTTTAAATGGAGATGCAAAACAACTTCCTGATGTCCTCGCGACATAGGAGGCGACAGTTGCATCGTTTAGTTTAGTTTTGATAAAACATTCATGTTTGTTGAAATGAGTGTTACACCAAATGAGGTGATAGTGAAAAGCATTATAGGAGTGAAAGTGTTAGGCTACGCCCTTTTTCTTTAAAGGTACATTTGGGTTGCCATGTTGTGAAAAATCCGTCATCAGTTGACCACTAAACCTGCTAAAACCAGGATTTTTGCTGGCGCCTCCGCGCCCTATAGAAATATATAAAGAATACATGTAAATCTCTACAAAAGACAAATACACTACAAAAACAGAAACGTATTGACATAGGTAATACATCAAAAAGGCTTCAAATGTATTCAGTATTGTATGAAAATGTTTGAATTGGAGGGTGGACATCACATCCTACTAGGGGGGGCCCGGGGGTATGCCCCCCCGGGAAGAAATGTTTGAACATTTTTAATTAAAATGCTTCAATCTGGTGCACTTTGAGCACACATTAACTAGAGACTAGGGGACTACAACTCTAAACACCCATGAAAAAGATCGGTTTACATTTTAATAATCAAATAAGTATGTGAACATAGCCAATAACCAACATAGCAAATAACAATAAATGTAACTTATTTTATTTGTGTTGTTCATTCATATTTTATTTTAGCTTAACATTTATTTAGTAATGCACATTTTTATTTCTCCAGTTTTAAACGCTATTTTTGGTTTACGGTCCTTGTTACGTGCTCCTCTCCTGTTTGTCTCTCTGTCTCCCTGCTGTACCTGTTCCTCCAGAGTACATTAGACACAAAACACTCGGAATCTACAGATCCTGAAGCAGAAGAAGGAGGAAGACCACGGACAACCTCACCCGGCGTTAAGATTGGGGAAGAGCACTCTTCTCCTCCAGCTTCTGCTTTTCAAGTCCCCAGCTGAACGTAATTAGGACACCTGGGGGAGGCGGAGCCAGGGGCGGACCAGGTGTGTCTCTAGGTTTTCGCGGCTTTGTTTTTCTCCCGCAGGGATTTGTTAGGTTTCTGGGTAGCGGAGGAAGCTCTGAGTCTACGGCCCGTGGTGTGGCTGGCCCAGGCCCCCTTTGTCCTTTTGTTTATTTCCTGTCCTCCAGTGCATGTTATTTGCCAGTTGGCCATGTAAGTACGGATGTATCAATAAATGAACACTGTTAATGCCTGCGTGTTTGCTGTGTTTTCTATGTTGCGGGTCTCCCAACGAGTCTCTACCATTAAGTAGAGGGCGGGTCGTAACCCCTATAGTATACATTGAAATTATTTCAAACCTGTTTATCCCAATAATTATAAAGGAGTGCCTTGGAAATATGTGTTTACATACATTGTGATCAAAACGTTTGGAGACTCACTGAGATAACTTAGACTAAGTTAACTATCTAAACACTCAAGAGTCCTTTACCTCACTGAGCTGTAGTAATCAGCCTCTCTATGCTGTCAGGAGAGAGCTCCCCTCCACCTTTGTTGTAAAAACATCTTCTTATACTCCGTAGCACCAGTGTTAACAACAGCCGGGTACCTCACTCCCCACGCCTCACTTCGCACTTTGGCTGTGAGCTGCGGGCGCCAGATAAGCCAAACATCCCCCCTTTCATCACTTAACAGCACCCATCGTACAGGGAAAATGAAAAGTGTGTTACCTTTACTTAATATGAATGTTGTTACATCAAGGCCGAAAATAGGATGAGCACCAACGGTCAAAAAACGTTTTTCCCCCCTCCCAGAGCTGCCAGCGCAGCGCCTCCCCAGATCTGGCGCCCTAGGCGAATATCTATAACGCCAATGCTAAGGACCGGCCCCTGGCTAAGACCATTGAGTTATAATAAAGTTAATAAACCTTAAACTCTCTTAAACATGTTAAAAAAAGTAATGCGTATTGTCTAACTTTCTAGTAGCCATCATGAAAAGTGAGCACGTCAATCATACACGTTTATATAAGTCATTGATTGATTACAAAAAACAAGTATTTTTCAATTTACCTGGCAACTCAATAGTTGTTTCTCAATGGCTAATAACCTATATTTATAAAAACATTAAATGTACCTTTAATAACAGACACATTTACAACTTATAAATCCCTGAAATTGAAAAAAGGTTTTTAATCAATTCCTATGCTCTGCAGGATGCTGAACGATTTAGGAGTCTGGCAGTGTGATAGAGAATTAGTGAGAAATAATTAGATCTCTTAGTTAGTGAAGTGTATAGGGTTCATCATACCTACACATTGAGGCTGGCAGACCTTTCTCTGCAGTTGAGTAGGTGGTGTAGCTATAGAGACAGATTATTTTTATATCTGAAGTGCACATGTTTACTTTGTGAGTGTGTTCCTTAACCTGGGGACGCTTGCTGAGTTTGGCTTTGTTGTGTCACTGTTGTATTCCTGCCACGTTTTTATCAATTCACAGACACAACAGCTCAAACAACTGAACAGAGACCGCCTAAAAAAGGAGGGTCTTGGTTTGCTTCCAATCAACATTAGTGTGGTTCGATTTTGGGGAGCCAACCACAAGATATCGAGAAAGTTTATGATGCAAGAATTAATTTCTTTTTTATTTGGTGTGGAACAAATGACCAAACTACACTGTGACCTGTGATAGTTTAAAGCCGCCGTGTTGAACTGTTGACCACCCAGGAGTCATGGCAGAAAATGTTTATATTCTTATCCTAAAATTATTTATATTTTCTTTAAGTTTGGCTCATTAAGTCATATTCATCAAACTATCTTGAATTGATTACACCTATTCATGAAGTGTGCATTAATGATATCTTAACATTAACATTCCCCTAATATTGCTATTCAATGGGTGCACAACATACATTCTTAAAAAAATGTATTAAAAAAAGATCAGCAAATTGACCAGCTATGGTGACAATAAGTTCAACAGAATATAAATGTAGCAATACATTTTAATGTTAATGTATGTACATTCAACATAATATTCAAACTCCTGAAGAAAAGCAGAAATATTGTATTTAAGAATGAGAGAAAAGGCTTTTGGCTCTTGATCAGTAACGCGTTGTTGGATGACTTGATGTGTGGGTTTGACTTTTTGCACAATTCCAACGTCACCACATCCAAAGTTCATGGTAACCAGATTGAACTGGACGAGGTCCGGAGGTGTTTTGTCCTCTATGGTTTTGTCCCTATACATAATGTCCCTATACTTTAAATAAACAATACAAGTTCATATGTGGATCACCTTAAACGTCAGTAAGTCTAGTGAATATTTTGCATAATATATACTCACTGTCCATTTGACTTTGTTTGTTGGTGTTTCCTGAGCTGTGTTCTTCCTGTGTGGAGCTGAATCAGAACCCAGTCAGTAATTTAGGCATTGGTAAAAAAGAAACAAATAATTAATATACAGTGTAATATATAAAAAACGAGTTAATCTGTGAACTTGGAAACATATGCAATTCTCACCACATGGTCCATTCAATAGCTGGTTTGGAGCTTTACATTCACGAAGGACAACAAGTGTTTGTTTTATTTAAACATCTACAGCTCCATGACAACCGAGCAACTCCATCTGCTGAGGACCCTTTGGTGTGATTTTCTTGAACCTAATGCTTGAACAGAAACAAATAGGTAATACACTGGATAATTATCTAAGACAAGTTGTAAGACCTGAAGTATTTATTGTTAAAAGAATGTCTGAGAAGGAGGCTTCTCCTTCAGAAAATACTGCGATCTTTCTTAAACAAACAAGCTGGAATTAGGAAACATTTTGGAAGTGTATTTCAGGAGTCAGAATCTCCCAGCACAGTGAAGAGTTTGTAAATTATTACACAGTGATAATATTGACTTAACTGTTGCAAATATATTTCTGTCCTTAAGGAACATGACATACCAGCGATCGCTTGTGGTCAGATTTTGTTCTTTTTGTTTTTGTAGGCAAACTTCTATTTGGAAACTAGAGATTAAAGTGGGCAGAAAGAGCGACATGTGAAAGCCAGAGCAGGTGTTTTAATGAATCACACTGGTGTATAAAAACACCTCAATGCACAACACTCTCCAAAGAGAAATTTCAAAGTAATGACACATTCACCTCTTGTCCACTAGATGTCAGGAAAGGCCCACACAAAATCAACGACAGTGTTTTAAATTGAGGGGTATGGGATGTTCGTGTGCTGTAGAAACTACAGCAGAAAAGTGAAGACACAGATATTACCCTTCTGCTCTCTTTCAGAGTGCGTCAAAAAAACTATTAATAACAGAACTGAGGGGCCAAGGCCGATTTAAAACATCTTAAATGGCAAAGCAGGACACTCATTACAATCACAATGTTTATCTAAGCAAAGAAAAGGCTTTATCAAAGCTAACATTATACTCTTCTTAGTGTTCAAACTCGGTCTGTAATATAGGGAAAAATAGAGGTACACTTAAAATCCTTCCATTCCAAATGACATTGAGAAATTATGCCTTGGATGTTGTCAATTCGTTTTATCATTACCAGCATGATTTTCTCACACTTATCGCAAAAACTCAAGACGCCATGGCGTAAAACTGAAACTTGACAAGGAGTAATTGCAGAGAGGTAGAAACAGTCTATAACTTGCTTCATGTGTTAGTTTTATAATGTCTGTAATTTCATTGTTAAACAGTAGATTTTTAAAAACATTCAAATGTGTTTTGACTCAGCTGCACTGACGCTCAATAGCCCTTTGTAGGGCCCACCTTTTCCCCATTCAGGAAATGGAAGATCGGAGAAGAGTCAATAAGGGAAGTCCACAAATAAGGCAGATTCAAT